ATTCTTTTAATTATTATTATTGTTTTTTTTTACAATTATTACGTCTCATTTTTATTTACATTTAATTCAGTCACAAACACAATCATACCAGCATTTAAAACAGAGATTCAATAAAAAATAATTTTAATTAGCTTGATGGATCATTAAATATTATTTATTCAAAAAATAATTCGATCTTTTCTACTCCTGATGTGTGTTCATTTTTTTTCAATCATTATAAATTAAGCTCAATTTTCATATAAATTTTTAATTTGTAAACAATGTGATGTAACAATTTAGACAAATTAACAATAAATATCTAAATAAAAATATCAATATTAAATGTTGGAAAAAAATATAGTGCGATTATGATTAACGAGAATAAGATATAAGAGTCGGCGCTTCTTAATTTAAATGATTTTCTACGCTCATGATTACGAGACATAAATAATCCAGCGTTAAAATATGCGCACGCGGTGCATGGAAAGGTACGTGTCTCGTTCTCTGGCTGATGGTTTTAAATAATTTAACGCGCTGCCCGTCCACGCACACAAATTAAGTCAGCTGCCGTCTCTCGAGAGCACTGCTGCGAACGTTAAAAAACGAGCCGAGAGAGGAAAAGGTATATACGAAGAAAAGGGTTATCGCCGCGCAGAGGGGTCAATACTGGAATATACTGCTGTGTGTTTCATATTTTTCTCATTATGCATGCGAACGAACGAACGCAGGAGCGAGCAAGCTCCTCTGGACCGAACACATCACGCAAGCTCACTTAATCTTTCCTCTCTTGGCTCGTCGCCTCATTTGTGTAAAGGCAAAATGAGAAAAAATTTCAAATTCAGCGCAGATAAACTTAAAAAATTGACACTTTATAGAAAATTGAAAATAAAATCTTGTATTTTGCTCTAAATTACTAATAACGTGAAAACTGGAAGGAGAATAAATAAGCTCTCAAAATTTTAATAGAAAATGTTGGTAAATTAATATTATTGAATCACATATCAATGCTTCAAAAATAAAATAAATATTCACATTTAGCAAAAATTAATTCATAATATAACAATTATTTTTATGGTAATTTTTTTATTTTTTTATGGTAAGTCTTGCTGCAGCTAATTAAGATAATTATTTCCACCAAATTTCGCCTGTGATGTCGTAAAAAGAGCATCTCAGCAAAAGAGCATCTCAGCTCGTTGAGCGCACAAGGAAAGTTTGGACGAGAAGAGAGAGAAGTTCCATCTCTCCTTTTTATCGCCTGCATCGCTAATAATCGCGCGCCGAACCTAAAATGAGCAATGGGCTGGAAACTTTTAAGAGATGAGTCTCGTTTAAGACAAAAGAGATTCGCCGTCGCTTGCATTTTGCAGTCGGAGAAGAAGTTTTGGGGGGACGAGACGAAGACGGCGGCGGCGATGGCGACGACGACGAGTGCACGGCGCGGGCGAGAGAGAAGAAGAAGAAGAGCTGCTCTTGGCGCTCCTAATGGCGATGGCAATTAGCAGAATGGTGCCATTAATTGAAAACTTAGACACACTTCAAGTGCAGATGAGAACGAACGAGTTAAGAGGCGAAAAAAGATGGATGGCGAGCCCCGCGAGCAGAAAGGGTTAATAAAATAATAGCACTGCAAAAGCGGCGGCGTCGGACAGAGAGAGCAGCTGCGATTGATTGGCGGAAAATTTTATTTCGCGCTCCATCGTGTGCAGAGGTGCGTGAAAATAAAACTGCTAATTGGCCGTCACGCTCATTGCGATTGATTAAATGTTTTGTTTTCAGTTTTGTATATATTTGTATGGCGGCGCAGCGTTCCTCTTGTCAAAATAAAAATTTTATATGTGTGGCAGTCGCCAGCACTGATTGGTACAGCCGGTACAGGGAAGTGATTGAGCTATGGGTGAGATTCTGGGAATTTCTTTCAATAAGCGCTGCCCTGCTTCCTTTTCATAAAAGAGATTGGTAACAGCCGCCACTTTTCATTGCGACTGAATGGGAGTAAAAAATAATGGTCAATCCGCTGTTTATGGCTGCATGGTTTTCAAATCGTGACAATAACTATTTGCTGTATATCTGGTTTAATTGTCATTAAATTAGCGGTTTATTGAATTTCAGGGCCAATTAGTCATATATAGAAAATAAAACTGTATCTCACTACTTTAAATAAGCCAATTAAGTTATAAAATTAAAAAAAAATTAATTTGTTCATTATTTAAATTTATCGTATTATACTTGTTTCTGAATTGAATTCCGGATAATTTACTTTTATATGTTTTCATTTTGATAATTTGTAAGCCCGAAAGGAAAATTTAAGTGTATGCAAAAAGCAGTTAACTCATAAAAAATCCTTAATCATTAAAAGCTTTTCAGAAAACAAGCAAATAAGGAAAGAGGGCACATAAAGTCAGACAAGAGAGAAAAAAAGAGGAGCTACATCAGAGTGCGTGAGATGATTTGTCTTGTTAATCTGCTATAATTCCAAATGAGATATGTTTTGTTAGGACAGCTGCGGCTGTGTGCGTGAAGGAAATAAAAAAGCCAAAAAAAGAATATATAGTGGAGGATCGAGTGGGGGACAAAGAGCAGCGAGTGAGACACATATAAAATGAATCTCTCCGTCGCGCAGTGTTGATTGGAAAATCCGTAAGCCTGGGTGAGATGATGATGAGGAGGAAGAAAGGACGGATTGCAAAGTCCTTCTTGGCTTGTGCCCGCGAGAGCGAAGCGAGCGAGCGAGTGTGCATCCGAAAACCTCTCTCTCTCTCTCTCTTCTCTCTGTGCTCCCGCTCGCTCTCTCGCCATCGCAGCCTCCTCTCATTTTCTATCTTCTCTTTAATCTTCTTTATGTCTCCACAGTTCTTTGTCGCTTTTTATGTTTTCAGCCCCCAATTGCTTCCACTGCAATTTCTTTCAGCGCCAAACAAAATCTCTTACCATAATGAGAGCGGATTCTGCCGCCGCCGAAATCTCCACCACGCGTAGGAGGAAGTGGTGTAATATAAGTCGCGCGCGCGGGGGTTGCTTTTTGGCACTTTTTGGGGTGGGATTGTTATTTGCCAGAGGGATTTTTATTTGATAGGCGTGACTGCGCCTCCTCTTTCCACGTCACAAGAAAATGCAGAGGTGCTGAATAATTTGAAAAGCTTGTTTAAAACCAAAAAAAATAAATGTTTGGAAAATTACCGAGATAATAATAAACTTTTAATTTTGCTAATAAGGCAGTAAAATTAGTAGGAAAAACATAGACTTGAAATAAAATCAGACACGTAGCCCCTATTAGTATAAAAACGGCAACCTGCGATGCATTAGAGATCAGCAGGTTGCATACATTTCATGGAGAATACAATAATATTTGTATGTTGAAATATCAATTTTAAAGTCACAGATTTAAAAAAAAAAGCTAAAAACCTGATGTACTTTGATTTTTTTTTTTTTTTTTTTTAAATAATATATGTTTTAATTAAGAGAAGCACAAAACATAAAACAGAGTTTTAAATGCTAAAATTTGGAATTTTGGTGAAAAAATTATATACCCTTAGGTTATTTAACCATATTTTTTTTTTAAATTTAACAAAAATTGCTCGATTTTGATGCCTTTGAAAATTTTCTTTTTTGATGCTGTTGTTGCAAATCCAGCCTCTATTTTTATGCGCGAATCTCAGTACCGTGGTGATCACACCGTGGATGGTGTTATGTATTACATATGCACCCTCTCAATATCAGGCCGTGAGGATATTGCCGTCAATAATCACCGTGCATCTCTGCCTTTAGCATAAGGAATACACGTGCCCATCCATCTCACTCTCTCACACCGCGTCAGCACATATTACACGTTCGCTCGCTCCTCTCTCGCGGCCCAGCCGATCCGGCACGCCAGCGAAATTACTTTGAACGACAAGACCGAATATATATGTATATATCGCAGGCTCCTTTTTTCCCTTTCTTTGATGGCTGCAAATTATTAGCATCACACGTCCCTCGGTTTTCATTTGATGTTGTGTGTATGCAGCACAGAGATGAAAATCTTTAGCTCTCTCACTTTGGATGCGAGAGAGAGAAATGCTTTCTGTTGTCGTCCCGCACGAAACGCGGCGGCGCTCATTTTATTTCCCTGTGATATGCCGAGAGAATTATATATTCGGCGCTGCGAAAGAAAATTACTCATTACGCTTAAAAGCGGCTTCTTCCCCCAGCTCTCGGCGTTGAATAATTATTATTTCCCGTCTCGCGCCAAGAGGGAGAGAGAGAGAGACAAATTTTAATAAGAAATTAAAAATATTTATGACCGCCGTTATAAATCCCCGCAAAATATTTCCTGCCTCTTCGCTCCTCCTCCTCTCTCGGCGGGCTGCTGTCTTGGCGCAACTATTTAATTAATGACTATAATTAATCAGCGGCCCCGGTTAATAATTACAAACTTTCTTCGCACCCCTTGCTTCCCTCGTGAATATACGGAGAGACCAAAAAGCGGCGGCGAACTTCTCTCTCGTTGCCAAAATATACATATAGTGCTGCGTGCAAACTCCTTTCATAAACGACTGCTGGAAAAATTTGGGTGTTGCTCCTGGCTGGTATACAGACCCGCCTTGGCTCGAGCTACTCCTTCTTCTTCTTGTCTCGGTTGGCCCCACAGTGTGTATAAAACGTGTGTAATTAATTTTCCTTCTTCTGCAGCAACTGCCGAGCCAACCCTCCAGCCTTGATATATCAACCAAATGTGTATCAGACCACGCCTGTTTTCTCTCTCTCACTTTACTTCCACACACACAGCCATGGTCGACGTGCGTTAAGAGCCTGTTTGTGAGAGCGAACACACTATGCAATAATTTAATCCGTCTGGGAATAAATCATTCCATTGGCACAACTGCACTCACGACAGCAGCCCCGGCAAACATTATTTAGCTCAGATATGTTCTTGCTCGGGACACCGGCAATAAATCAATAGCAAGAAACTGCTCTTTTACACCAAATGTAATTGGAAAACGTGTTATTAAAATTGTAGAACTCAAGAAATTAAAACAAAATCACTTGAGACATTTCACAATAAATTCTATTCCTAAGTTCAGCAATGTCAGCATGGGCGTTTCTTAAGAATTACATATAAAAACAAAACAAAAATTTCCTACCACACAGTATATAGTTGCAGATTTAAAACACATTCAGTTGGAATGGGCAAGTATATCAATAACAAACTGGCAAGTCTTTATACAAGACTTACACAAATCAAAGATAAAAGAGCACAATCAAATCCACCAAACATTTAAATTTTGTATAGAAAATAAAATTATTAGGTATTTTATCCCCCTGGCGTCAGTAAAATCTCTTTTTGGTGCAAATTGATTTGCAGATTTTGCAGTGTCCGCAATTTATTCCTTCTTCTTGCGATGCTGCTTCTCCTTCTTGGCTGCACCTCTTGGCCAATAGTAAAGCACCTGTGCTGCTATGATACTATTAGCAAATGAAGCTCCGCAGTATGTGACGATCATAGTCATGTCTCCGGTCTCCTGGTACGAAGTGAAGATTCTGGCAAGAGAGCCTCCAAACAGCATGAATACTGTGACTGCAGAGAGCTGACCAGTTGAGCCTGCCTTGTAATTTGCAACGGCCTGAATGAGCTGAAAAATTATTTAAAATCAGTCAGAAACAAAATATTGTTATTATTGACTTATGAAGCGTCGTCACGATGTATCAAATCAAATTTAATAATTTGGTTCAATTTGAAATTATTTTGTTTAATAACCAAGATTATATAAAAATGAATTATAAAAATAAAGAATGACACTTGATTAAAATGCAATGATCTAAAATTTCTTATGTTTATGGTAAATGACAAAAAGATATTTATGATTTTGTTTCACCCTTTGAAAATTATTAACTTCATTTGAGAATAAATAAAAATTATTGGTAAAATTTGAAACCAAGATGTAAAAATGAACTTTGTTCTTCCAAGGCAAACAACTCAATTTATAGTTTGAGATTAAACAGAAAGTGAACAAATGAATGATAAGATAACAATTTTATGTGCCCATAAACGAACCTAATAAAAAAAAGACCCTCACCTTTCCAACCAAAATGATTGGTACATTAGCTGCCTGCATAGACCACAGTACATCAGGAGGTGTGATTCCAGTGGTCAGCACCAAGAAAAGGACAGAGTAGACGGCGAGGAACAAGCAGGCTTGGACTGCGCTTCCACCAGCCTCCTTCTTTTTGCCAGTCCGAGGCTGGTTTCCGTAAAGCAAGACCATGGCAGCCACGGCTGAGGTCTGCAGGGCCAAAAAGAGACCCTCTCCCCATGCACTGAAGAATTATAAAGAAATGAATTACAATTTTATTTTATTGTTTTGGAAATTTTTAAATTAAAAATACCTGAATGGGAACTTGTTAGTGTAGCTGTAGGCAACGTTTGCGGTAATTGCAAACAGCTCTAAAAATACACTGATGGCACTGATGCCCTCGGCGCTCTTGCCTCCAAATATTTTTGTTATTTGTGGAACTTTTACTGAAAAAAATTATTGAATTAGTTATCGCAGTTACAAAAGAGCAAAAAAATAAAAGTTTTATTTTGAAATTTTTCAATTATAATTTAATTGATTTAATTTTTATTTAACAATTACGTAAATTTATTGATTTTTCACTCTTTAATTTTTTCTTACCAAGCATCGAGCCCAAGATTATTCCTAATCCGAGTCCTTTGCTCAAAGCCGCCTTGAGACATGGCACTGAAATAAATACAAAACACGGATATTTTTTGTATATATATACATAGAACATAAAATAATAAATTTGTATGATTTGAAGTTACAAGTTACCGTCAAGAAAATTAAACTTGATGAAAAACTCGTCGTAGCACTCCGGCGTCAAAAGCAGAAGGCAAAGTTGTCTGAATTGTTCTGCCATTTCAAAGCGATTTCACACTTTTTCCAGGCGAAGGGTCGAAATAATAAAAGGGCTGACGAGTTTCTGTTTCCAAATTTGTATCAAGCCGCTCTGTTACAAAAGGTGAAGGAGAGAAATGAAGCCGGCAGAGGCCCCGAGTCGGAAAACAACGACACGCACCCAAGAGGAGCGGTGGACGGCAAAGGGGGCGTGGTCGGATCAAAATTCGTCATTAATCATTGATCATCACCAGCTGTGAGGGAAGAGCAAAAATGGCTGGCGCTCTCACTCGCTGGGGCAGCCTTCCAAAAGGCCAAATTGGTGAGTTTTCCGCAAATCCAGACTTGCAATTTCACATCAGCCGCGTAGAAAAATTTCCCTTGTCTCTTGCTTTAAAATTTTGTTTAATTTTTTTCTCTATAACGTCAATAATTTGAGTTTAGATTTTGACCTTCTTGGTTCGATCTTGTTTTGCATTGCATTATTGCGATTGTCAATGTGTTTATGTAACTATTTTCATAAACCCTTTTTACATTTTTGATGATATAAGAAAATAAATTAATAATTCACCTTTTATTTTTCAGGTTTCGTGTCTGCCATTTGTAACACAACACAGTTCCGATCGAATATCACTGCTCCTGCTGGCAAGGTTTGCACCTTTGATGTTATTTAGCCTTCATTTTTATACTTACATATTTATGTTTTGATGCAATTATTTCGAAGTTTTCTAATTTTATTTCTAAATAATTCATTATTCAATTAAAAAAAAAAAAAAAACATTATAATGTGTATACACATAAGTATTTAATTTTTTTTAGTGATGTTTTATAAATATATTTTTTTATTTACTCCAATTATATTCAATTTAATTTATTTTAAATATTTTTAGAGCAAGTATGGCCCTCTCGCTGACCAGGACAGAATCTTTACCAACTTGTATGGTCGCCACGACTGGCGTTTGAAAGGTGCTTTGAAAAGAGGCGACTGGTACAAGACCAAGGAAATCTTGGTGAAGGGTCCCGATTGGATTTTGAGTAAGTTTTTTACTAACGGTATTGAAAACTTCTAAAATTCATTATTCTTCCTCAGATGAAGTCAAAACCTCTGGTCTTCGTGGTCGCGGAGGCGCTGGTTTCCCCACTGGCATGAAATGGGGCTTCATGAACAAGCCTTCGGACGGCAGGCCAAAATACTTGGTGGTCAATGCTGATGAGGGAGAGCCTGGCACCTGCAAGGATCGTGAAATCATGAGGCACGACCCTCACAAGCTGGTTGAGGGTTGCTTGGTCGCTGGCCGAGCCATGGGCGCCAGGGCTGCTTATATTTACATTAGAGGCGAGTTCTACAATGAGGCGTCCAACATGCAAGTTGCAATTAGTGAGGTAATTCAATTTTTATTTACACTTAAGTCAAACGATTGAAAAAAAAAACTATTAATGGGAAATATTTCATGGTGGTGTGTTCTGCGCAAATTGGTTACATAACACTTTCTTAATACTTCAAGTGACCTATATTTAGCTTACTTAGTAATGTAGTTATTTCCTCACACTGAAGTTATCATGAATATTAGTCTAAAATTAATTTGATCTGAAATATAATTTACATTTTTTCCAGGCCTACCAAGCAGGGCTCATTGGTAAAAATGCCTGCGGATCTGGTTTCGACTTTGACGTTTTCATGCACCGTGGTGCTGGAGCTTACATCTGTGGCGAAGAAACGGCCCTGATTGAAAGTCTCGAAGGCAAGCAAGGAAAGCCCAGGCTGAAGCCTCCATTCCCTGCTGATGTCGGCGTCTTCGGCTGCCCCACAACAGTTGCAAACGTTGAGACGGTTGCTGTTTCTCCTGTGCGTATATTTTACTTTAAATAATCGCAGAAAAATAATAACGATAAAAAACAGTCCATTTGTCGAAGAGGTGGCACCTGGTTTGCATCCTTTGGCCGCCAACGTAACTCCGGAACCAAGTTGTTCAACATCTCTGGCCACATCAACACACCTTGCACCGTCGAGGAGGAAATGTCCATCCCTCTGAAAGAATTGATTGAGATTCATGGCGGTGGCGTTGTCGGTGGCTGGGACAATTTGTTGGCCATCATCCCTGGCGGTTCTTCAACTCCCCTCATCCCCAAAAAGTGAGATATTGTATATCTTACGTAAAAATTTAGCTTATTATTGCGATTACAGTGTCTGTGAGGAAGTTTTAATGGACTTTGATGGATTGGTAGCAGCGCAGACTGGCCTGGGAACGGCAGCCATCATTGTGATGAACAAGCAAACCGACATTGTGAAAGCCATTGCTCGGCTCATTGAATTTTACAAACACGAGTCGTGCGGTCAGTGCACACCTTGCAGGGAGGGTGTCAATTGGATGAATCAAGTCATCCACAGATTCGGTGAGTAAATAATGAATACAATTAACATTTAAACTCAACCATTGTTTTTTTAGTTACTGGAGATGCTCAGCCCGAAGAGATTGACATGCTTTGGGAAATAAGCAAGCAGATCGAAGGCCACACAATTTGCGCCCTGGGTGATGGTGCAGCATGGCCTGTTCAGGTACTTTAGGAAAAAAAACTATTTCAACTTTGGCTCATATTATTTCCTTTCTTCAGGGTTTGATTCGTCACTTCAGACCCGAGTTGGAAAACAGAATGAAGAGATTTGCTGATAAGAAAGCTGCAAACTAATAGTTTTCTTACTCTATTAAGGTCTCTATGTGTTTAGATTCAATGAAATGTAAATAGAAAATCCTGTTGACACTCTATCTCCTACTTTTTGATTCAAGAAGTACCTTTTTGTTAAAAGTTATTTGCCGCATTTCTAAAAAGAATCGATTTCCGGTGAAATAATAAATTTATTTATGACCTAGACGTATAAAATAAAATACACGGTATTAGAGAATCATTGAATTCTTTTTATTTTGCGAAATATTTACACCAAACTGTTGAACAATTGCAATGCTAAATAAATGAAACGGGACAAACAAATATGGATGAAATTAACTGCGCTTTATGTCTTAAAAATCTAAAACTTTGCCTCATGTAACAAATCGGACCTTTTTTTACTTCATTTATCATTTTAAAGCTACTTTAGAGACAGGTGAACATAGTTCACTCCATGTCAGCTCAATGTGTAAGTTGGGGAAACTATAGAAAGAACACAACTCTATATGGTGACCTGCAATACATTTGCACACGCAAACAGACACATGTTATTGATTATGAGGAAAATCTTCATTCGTCTGCAATAAAAACTTATATTCGATAGATTTAATTTAATTTGTCGACAAAATGCCTCGAGTAGAAAAAGAACACTACCACCAACTTGTATGGTTGGTGCGAAATTAAGTCTTGGATTTTAGTAAAAATCAGACAGAAGGGCACAATCGTCTATAATAGAGAAATGGCTGTGTTTTTTTTTATATATCTTATGGAACCAAAATCAAATGCCGCCGTGTTTCATCTGCCTCCACTTTTGCTTTTGTTCTGCGGTACAATGTTATTCTATGTGTTGTGAATTGTTGATATCTTCATATTTTCTTGCTTTATAAATTCACTCGTGAACTGTTAATATTTTGAGAGAGTTTGTTGTACGGCACAGGTGGGGGTGTTGTCTGTCTTCAGCAGAAGTTCCTTAACCTTGTAACTGATGCATGCTCTTAAAACCAGCAAGTCAAATTTCTCCTCAATTTGCAAAACACCTCCATCAGTGACTTCATTAGGCCGGTTTTTGTGTGCCCTTCTTGCCGATGAGCGACTTGTGGATGTGAGGGATCACACCTGAAAACAAGAAATGACAGATTCAGAATGTGCAAAATTGTTTACGGAGCTTCAAAAATCCAAGAGACCCAGTGCAAAAAATAAAAAATCTCTGCTCTTATCGAACGGAAAAATTTATTTAACACGGATAGATGTGTTTTATAGTAAGTTTTAAATAATATGCATTTATGCAATTCTCCCCTAAAAAATAACACCTGCAATCAATTCCCCTCGTGACGTAGCCAGCGATTTCAAGCGCGGGCCTTGGCGCCAAAATATGTTTGCTCTTTTCTACTGCTGGGATTGCGACGTTGCCAATTCGACATGCTAATAAAAGCCCGCTCAAAAGTGGATGATGCAATCTCAAAAGTTTAATCCGACCAAATTTTTTAAGATTGATCAAAAAAAAATTTCAAAAAATCATTAAATATTTGAAAGATGTGAGTTGAAAGGTGAAAAAACGCCATTGCAGTCCAACCAAAATGGCAACGTCGCGCCCGTCGACCCGGTTTTCTAGGCCGAATTGGGCCGAAAGTAATAATGCAAGAGGCCCGGTCGAGTCGTATCGACCTTCCCGAAGGCCTTGGCCACCCGACGGTGCCGAATTCGGGCCGAATCAAGTATGGGAATTGGTAATTACCGCCGCCAGCGATGGTCGCCTTGATCAGGGTGTCCAATTCTTCGTCACCACGGATGGCAAGCTGCAGATGGCGAGGGGTGATACGCTTCACCTTCAAGTCCTTGGACGCGTTGCCGGCCAACTCGAGCACTTCGGCCGTCAGGTACTCGAGAATGGCCGCGCTGTAGACGGCGGCGGTGGCGCCGACACGGCCGTGGCTGGTCGTGTGGTTCTTCAGGTGCCGGTGGATACGGCCCACGGGGAATTGGAGGCCCGCTCTGGCCGAACGAGACACTGCCTTCGCCTTTGCTTTACCGGAGTCCTTGCCTGCTTTTCCTCCTGCCATCTTGAGTCACGCTTTTCCGCGGAAATGTCAGTGCCCAGCAAACACACACAGGAGCGCTCGAAGCTCGTCGCAGCTTTTCCTACCCGACGCCAACGGACCAACCGACAAAAGGGGAGTTGCGGCGACGCGCGCGCTCTTCAGAACAAGTGGCGAACTAATGATTTACATGAGGCGCCATCTCTTATGGATATTTTATAATCTAAATTGAATTTTTTCAGAAATGCCTTTTAGAACTAAAAATCATATTTTGATTCATTGACTATAATTTTAAGTGTGGTATTATAATCAAGTCTTACAATCACAATGGAAAAAGATCACATAAATAAGCAAAATGAAAAAAAAGAATAAAAGATTGTTGCATGATATCGAGGGGAATCAATCTAATGTTAAGTTAACCTGGACCGCTTCTTTTGTGGCTGCATCATCCTCACCAACTTCGCCCCAATCTGAAAAATCACCATCGTCCCCCCACCCAGCCTCTTCTCCAAAATCTTCGGACACCGCCATTGAAAATTTGCTCTTCTCAGCCACCGTCGTTTCTTTTTCGACTTGTGCTGCTCCGGGGAATAAAGGATTTTTTGTAGTTGCGATTACTGGCTCCATGTCTTGAAAGAAGTCCATTTCCTGAAAGCGCAACTAATTAAATTCAAAAAAACCTTAGCGATAAAAAAATTCAACCTTTTCCTGAGCAACGACAGTAATTTTAGCCGCTTTGATATCCAAAGCGTCAAGATCATCGACAACATTTTTAACAATATTGGTCGGAATTTTTCCTGATAACGAGAGTGGCTTCTTTAGAGCTGGAGATGTTTGAAGTTTAGCTAGGGTGGATTCGCCATTCTCAGGGCCATCAGCGCTCTTTTCCTCATCTTCGTCCTGCTGGTCGTCCCAGTCCGACCATGCCTCTCCTCCGTCTGGTGAAAGTCTCTCTGGTAGTTGTGCAGAAGCAACTCCGTTTTCCACCAAGTCGGCATTTAATCCAGTTTCTGCATGCAATTTAAATATTAAATTTACTTAAGTAATAAACCTATTTTCTACCTTGCACCAATACTCTTTCAACTCGAGCTGTTGGCGCAGCAGGTTTGGGAGAAATCACAGGCAGTACTCGTTTGACAGGTCGAACCTTTCGAAAAGTTAATTTAACAAAATGAGGTACATTGAGGTTTCAAATATAATTAAAAATTACCTTAGGCCGTCCATCCGTAAAGAGTTTTCCCCTTTTGCCTCCGATCACAGTTGCAGCCCCTAAAATCGGCACAAGGTCTGCGAGCGCCCTTAATGTGGTGGACACCAGCAAGTCGTCATTGTCTTTGATTCCAACAAGCAATTCTGGCAGAATGTTATGCTGAAGTTGCTCCTTTGTAAAACCATGGCAATACGATGAGAAGTGCTTTAGCAATACGCAGCGCACTTGACTATCATGGACCTTAAATAGAATAAAATTATTTTATTTTTCATTCATAGTTTATCATAGTCCACACACCTGGAAAATTTTTACCAACTTCGGAGAAACAAACTTCTCAAATATTGATCTGCTGAATAGAGGTGAACAATCACCACTCGGAAATGAACCTTTGAAATAATTTTTTTTTTTAACATTTCATTACAAAAATAAAAGATGATTGTCAGATTACCTGATGTGGCATTTTCATCCTTAATTGCCAGCAACCAGGGCACAAGATAAGTTTGTGCAGATGGCTCAAGTAGAACCAACCGAGACAGTAGCAAGTCTGCCAATTGGGTCGCAACCATTACTTCAGGCAGGGTTGCTAATTGGGCCCATAAGCTCCTAAATTAAAAATTTGAAGGATTTAAACTTGAAACAACATGTAAATAGTTTACCGGAAAAATTGCTCTTTTTCACTTATAGTTTTAAGTGTGATGGCTGATAAAAATTCCAGAATTTCTACAACTGGATGGGAAAAGTACGGGTGCTCTAAAAGTTCCGCCAAACTGCCGCGAGACTTGATCTGCTTATCCTGTAGTTTTTCGCAGGCAAGTTTGAAAAATTCTAAACCAGACGGATCACCTAGGATTTTTTTACAATGATTAAAATACGTTGGAATTTATTTTATTTACTTGTGAGATCTCGTTTCTTAAGAATTTCCTGCACCATAATGCCAAATGCATAAGAATCAAGAGCCTGAGGATCAACATGAGCTCCTGCATTTTCCTCAGGTGGAATGGCAAACTCGTATCGACGGTTTCGGATTTTCCTCAAGTTCTCGGAGTTCAATTCGTTGTATTTGGTGATGAACTCAAAGTTCCCGAGTTTCCAAGTGTTGTCTGGTGACACATAAATGCTTCCACAGCACACATTTGTGTGTGAAACTTTTGCCTGCAAATTAAACCGTGATCACAGAGTAAAAATTTGTCGTTATTTCAAATTGACGTTGTGAGCTTACAGTATCATGCAAAAATACCAACGCTCTGAGAATGCTTCGCAAGCCAAGGCAGACTTGAAGATTGGTCTGAGCTCCCAGCTCTTGGGACAAAGGCAAGACTTGTTCCGTGGCTAGATTGAAGTAGCCACTTTGGCTCCATGTTTGGACAAATTTCAAAATGCCCGGATGACGGTAGATTTTTAAGTTCTGAAACACATTTTGACAATTACTTTATAATTTTAACAGTGGCTTGATTCCCACTTTTGCTGCCAACTCTAAGTATCCTGCGCTGTCAGCTGGACTGCAGAACACTGAATACTGTGCAGAGCTTGCAGTGCATATTGCCTGCTTTAAAGTCCACGAGTTGGCAACTTCGATGACCTCAGGCTTGATTTCGATGTGGCCCAAATTACTCTTTTCATTTCCCATTGGAGAAATTGCGATCAGTTCAGTCAAAACGCAGCCTGAAATAAATAAATGCATTAAAATTATTAGATCGAAATGTTTATCAATTCACAAAAATACAATTCCCTTGCGCTTTTTTGGGTTGAAACTTAATTGGTTTTTGTTTGCGTGAGTAGAGAAGAGGAATCACATACAAACCTCTCAGGTAGTTAATGGTTTTTATCAGAAGAAAATGTATCCGTTGTGCCTCTGGAGAGACAGAAATTCTCACATTTTCTTTACTTTATCGAGAACATAATTATAATAATCAAGTATTTAAAAAATGGAAGAAAGGCGTCTATTGAGTCAAGAATCGAGTCCTTTTCCTTTCACGTTTACTTGTCACTCCACATCCACAGCTGGTCCACAGGTCACAAAATGCGCGCGCACCTCTTGTGCTTTCATTCGAGTGGTGGCGGGTTGACCTTATATGAAACGCGCGTTTAATAAAAGCATTATTATTATCTGGACCGCTAATTTAAATATTAAAAAGCGGGGAATGTGAACTTTGAACTGAACCCCCTCCAGAAAAAATCAAGTGGAATCTCACGCACGCCAGTCGTTTGAGTAAAAATATAAGTAAGCGAGTTGTCGCTTATTATTTTTTCTTTATTATATATGTCAAGGAAGCGCCAACTTCCCACTCAAAACGGCCGACACAAAACTCTTCCAAAGGCGCGTATATGATTAAGATTATATGATAATAAAGCATGAAGTAAAAAATAAAATAAAAATTACCATATATATAATTATATCAAATTATTATATTATAAGGATTATATTAGAGATCAATTGCTCCTACATTTTAAGTTATGTACCTGCTGTGAGAATAGGCGCATTCCATCATGATTGAGATATAGAAACGATAGAAACTACCAGCCTAGAACAGCTATAAAAAATGCAAAATTAGTCACGAAATTATAATGGTTTGGAATTAAAATTAAGTTTATAAACAGTTAGATACAGCGACTGCAGTATAAGCTTCAGACAAACGCGAAAAATGCAGATTTTTTTTAAAGGTACGTATTCACACAGAACCACGTGTTGTTACTTTTCAGAAACAAATAAATGCCTGCTGCATACGTCATGCATTACATATGTCATACTCGGCTGCGCTCGCTGGTTCTTCACCGGCCGCTTTTCCATTCATATCCGCTCAGATTAGGCCTGACCAGAAGATGAAGATCGCAAATTTGTGCTTTTGTTTGAAGAACTTTGTTTAGTCCTCCCGCCAATCAATTGACTGCGCTCCTGCCGCAATGTTTTTTTTCAAAACATGCCATGCTTTTTCCTGCCGATGCGTGATTGGTTCATTAAGTCATGAGTTCGCTCTGATTGGCCAGTTTTTCTCTCCCGCAAGACTTTTAAAAATTCCAAGATGGCGATTGCAGCTGATAAACATCTGTGAGGGTTAGCTTTTACGACAGCTTCCGATGCTGATTTTTCACGAATCATGTCTTTTTGCCTAAGAAATTCTCCCTCGTTATATTCACCAGTGATTTTTTCGTCCTTCACAAAGCTGTAACAGCACAAAGATGAACCTGCAAGCCATTTTTCAAGACTTCAATCCGAGGTAATGGAGTGCATAATTTTCACTCTGCGTTGTTTATTTTTTTAATTCAATACAAATTTCTCTCTTTTGACGAATGACATTTTGTTTACAGCAAGTTTATTGTTTACGGATGCCTGCTCCTGTTTTCAATATTTTTCTCTCTGCGCCTTGACAACACCATCGCATGGAGTTACTGGACCATCTTCAGCCCAATCTGGTTTTGGAAGTTCATAGCCATCAGTGGTGCTCTTGTAGGCAGCTACGTTTGGTGGAGACACCCACATTATAGGTATTTTTACTTAAAATAATCCTCACTTGGGTTAATTACTAAAATTTGACCTTTATGTTTACAGATTGGAGGGTGAAGCCTACGTGCATTACAAAGCCATGCTGATTAGTTTAGCACTCCACCTGATACTGCTGATGTTTGAGCTGTTGGCCTGCGACAAACTTGAGTCAGGGAGACACCTTTGGATTCTGGTTTTTATTCCTCTACTTTTTATCTCAATTGCGTCGATTGCTGTGTGCGTGTGGGCTGTAAAACACGACAGGGCGTTCGAGGTATGTAATTTATTGTTATTTAAATTACTAATTTTTGATTTGGAATTTGTTTTCCAGCTCGAGCTGTTCTGTGCTGTGAACATTCTGCAATTTGTTTTCATTGCGCTTAGACTTGACAACTTGGTCCTGTGGAGATGGGAAGTTGTTTTTGTGCCCCAGTGGGTGTTGTTGTGCATAGCGTTAGTTGGTGTCTTGTACGCCATAATTTTTGCTGCGATCCTCCTCCGAGCTCCAGAAGCAAGCCACACACAGCGGAAAGCAGCCTTCCATTCTGCACTAGGGTACACCTGTTTGGTCATTCCGCTGCTTGTCTTCCAGGTATTCACTTAAATTATCTTTAAATATTAAGAGTTGGTAATCAATAAAAAATAAATTCACAGGTGGTTTTAGCAAATAAGCTAGATGGAGAAATAGATGCTAGCTATGTAACTGTGGCGTCGCCCCTCTTTGTTTCCTTTTCAACCCTGATGTTGATGTCTTTCGGTGCTAAAGGAGCCAACAAATGTATTTTTCCCCCCAATATTTTTGTCTTAAATATTTACTCATTGACTTGTGCTTTCAGGGTGGTTTGGAATAAGAAAAGACTTTTGCCAGTTTCTGCTTGGCGTGTGCCCAGTTCTCCAAGAATATGGCAACATAGCGTACAGTTCTCGATCGTCGCCCATCAAGGATGGACCGCTGGACCGATTGGGCCTCTCCAGAAGATCTGAATTAAAACTGGTGATGCCTGTGATTTCAATTGAAACTCCAGATTGATCTTTTTGAGCAAGGATGACGAACCTAATATCAATTATACTACAATGGAAAGTTCGAGAAAAGACTGCCGAGGATAATTTATTTGCCTTTCCACGAATAGGCCATTGTTTCATTAAAAGTGCTTTATGTAATTGTAAATCTTTGTAAGCTTTAAATGGCTACATTGATATTAAGATCATTTGAAAGAGAAATGTTATGTCGCTCTAAATTTTTATGAATCAAACTACATTTTAGACGCAGTCGACAAATAATATTTTCATTCAGATCACACTCTAGTTGTACATGGATTCTTTCAAATGTTTTTACGTCTGCATGTACTGGATTGATTTTGTTAATTCAGCCAATTTTACAGTATTTTTGCAACATGTTAATAAGGGTAAGAAAAATATTTTCAGAGTCGAGCTATTAAGCCATTTAACTGTAATAATATGTCAAACATCACAGATTTAATGTCTTAGGTTTATTATATTAATGCATTTTTCTATTAAAAAAGTGAAACAATTTTGTTCATTGTGCTAAAACTTCAATTTGCACAAGTTAAAGGCCCATAAAATGCGCAATCAATTTTTTTGCTTCGGCTTTTATCTGATTTTAATTCAGGGGTGGCTGTTTTTGCTTTAGCACAATATATTGTATCTTAATTTTCTTTTGCTTGATATTTTAGGATCATGACGTTGACTACTTAAATCAAAATTTACGCCTGTGGATAGAAAATTAATTAAAAATTCCAAATATGATTTTATTTTATGTATACCCTAAAATATTGGGTTACTCTTCAATTAAATCATTTTAAATTTGAATAATCATTACTTTTATTTGAACTGAATTTTTCCCTGTTTTGAACTATAATTACTTTCATTTCATTATTTCATTCAAAAACAAGATAATCCAATGAACGTCATCGCGCTTGTGAATGAAATCTTATTATCACGAACAAATTGTAGATGGCGCCTCACCCACTCTTTTGACGCTGTACCAATCAAATTGTTCGGGAACATGTTTCTATGGAGCAATGCCAACCTTTCGCCCAAAAATCTGGAACTTTAAATCCACTAATTGAAATGAAAACCCTCTATAATAATTAAATTCCCTTTTTTTTCAATTTTTAACTGGTTAAAAGTTATTTTTTAGTTTTTCTATGAAATCTTGAAAAGAAAGAGAAAGATATAAATGTACTGTTAAGTTGGCAAAAGTGATACACATCATACGGATCGTGTCTGAACTCGTCAAAAAACAGGAATGTGCTGCAAGCAGTACTACAACTTCAGTCGATCGTTTTCCACAGTTTTGGTCGGGTCGTGCAAAGGTTGAGTGGCCGAAATGACTTGGAAATTAAAGTAAGCCATCCGCAGTCAATTCTTTGGTGAGTAAATCAGAATTTTCAACGTTGAGCTCGTCGATATTGCTCGGGAAATTGCAAATTTCGCTCCACTTGCCCGCAAAAAAGAGAGTCGCGATCTCCGACTGCCCCTTGGGACGCCCCCGATTTTAATAATTTCATTTTCACATCATTTGTTTTTTTAGTGACACAATCGTAGTTGTTATTCATTGGTATTTTTCCTCGACTCACACCGAGGCAGGAAAGTTTGGTGACAGATGCGAGAGTCTGATTTGTGGACGAATACGCGATTATTTTGACAGGAAGTTCAGCTGCTGTCGAAGCTTTCAAAACATTATTGTCCCCATTCCCACGATCTGGACCGAAATTTAACAATTTTTTTAAATATTATTGTACATATCAAGAGACAAACTCTATATTTGTCTATTCGAAATTTGAAATAATTATCATAATATTTTTTTTAAATCGCAAACATTCTTTAATTTATATTTTATTTTGTTTCAGGCTAATAAAATGATTTTGCGCGACACATCATGGGACCAGTGATACAGGAGGCGGTATTTACGAATCGCAGCGAATTTCGAAGATTTTCCTCTGAGAAAAAACTCTTGCTCAACAGCCGCGTTTGAGTTGTTAATTTTTGAGATAAATATGAATGTGATATAATTTTTACACCAACACGAACCATTCGAAAGTGCGAAACCACGACGAATTGCCAATGAACATTGCAATGATGACATTCATGATGAAGAAAAAGAAGTACAAGTTCCAAGTGTCGCTGCGATTGGACGAATTGACAGCGGTGCCGTTCGTCAATGCGGTCCTGTTCGCCAAGGTGCGACTTCTGGACGGCGGCAGCTTCAGAGAAACCTCCAGCCGGTGAGTGGAAATTATATTTATTTGATTCCGCGATTTATGTGGCAATTCAGAGAGCGAAATATTATATTAGTCAGTGAATTACAAGGTTGCCTAAAACTAATTAAATAAAAAAAAATCATGGATGTGAAGAACGTGCGCTTTTTCCTTGTCGAAAAATATTTTTATAAATATTAATTTTTATTCAATTTTGAGCCGTTGAAAAAAAATCAATTAGGAAAGGCCCAAGTTTACTCACAAATAAAAGTCATGTATATTAAATGAAAGTTTGAAGAGTGAAATTTATAATCACATTTTAATAAATAATAGACGAAAAAGTCTAACTTGAATGACTTTGGATATATGTTCAGAAATATGGTGAAAATGTATGGGGAAAAAAATGAAAAATATTTAAAATTACAAGCTAAAAAAAACTAAAATCAAGTGAAATAAACACCATTTTATTTTACAATCTGGCAAACTTCAACTTTTCCTTTTGCAAAGCGCTGCTTTTCGATGAGTTTGTAAATTCGAGGCGCACAAAGAACGAAGGCAAGAAGTGGGCCTAATGAAATGGAAGGTGCACCTTGCTCGCACAACAACATCTGTCGATGAAAACTTTCAAGCGCGAAAAACGGCTGCTGCTTTTCGCCCCATCATGGCGTTCAATTTTTGCACGTTGCGGAGACATAAAATAATTGCACTCCGGTCAATTTCAAATTTCTCCACCGACGGAATGCAGAATTAAATTTGCTCTGCGCACCTTTTTTCACTCTTCGTCGGTTTCCTTGAGACGCTTCTGTATGTTTACTCATTGTTATAAACCACCGACGCGAGAAGAAGGAAGAAGACTGAGGATAAAAAAAAAACGAAAACGTGAACGGCGCTGAAATATTTGCGTGCGTAAATTCCAAGCTAATGCAGATTTAATGGATAAACCGAATGAAAAATTCTTGGAATTAAAACCAGATGGTTGTTAATTTGTTGCATGAAAATAGTTTGATGTTTTTACCAAAATATCTGAAAATAATTAAGAATGTAGTGTGTAATTTAAAATAGTAAATAAAATTGAAATTCTTATTAAAGAAATAAATATATCAGGCAATTCATATATTTCATGAGCAAACGCGCTGCTCGCTGACTAATAAAATAAATTAAAAGTTATTAAATGTGAAGTGCTGTTGGCATAACATTCGAAAGCTTTTAATGAATCTGTTGCATTTGACGACTTCCTTGACTTGGCTCTTGCACATTTAAAAACAAAGTGATCTGCGGAAAAAAATATCTCACCAGCGCAGCAATAATTGCCCAAGCAAGACCTTTTCTCAAATCGCTTCCCTTTGGCTAACCAAGCAGCTCTTATTGAAGCGCGGCAGTGGTTATATTGTTTTTGCTTCTCTCTTTCTGCGGTCTCGTGCGATCGCACGTTAAAATGCATTTATTTATCTATTCGAGTCGAGCGGTTCTCACTTTTCTGTGGGAATTTTGTGCCGAGCTTTCACTGATTTTCAATTATTGACCTCCGCGCGAGTTCACTTTCAGGTGTCATCCTCCTCGCCTCAGGTGCGTGAAAACTGCAGAAATAATTATTAAGTGCGCACCAGCATTACCTGCACTTGAACAGAGCAATCAAAGTGAAACTGAACGCAGTTGTTATAATTGACATTTATAGTGCCTGAAAGTGAGAAAAAGTCAAAGACAAAAGTTATAAATTTGCAGAACGTTGAAAAAATGAAATAAAATTGCTCAAAAATTTCGTAAAATTTCTAGCGATGTTTAAAAAAAGAAATACAGAAAATCGCTTAAAAATGGAGATATTAAAAAGCAAAAACAAATTTCAATCCGATTATGAAATTAATGAACTTAATAAATCTGGAAATATTTAGCGTGTTTTGCTATTTGTAAGAATCATTTTGCATTAAATTTTTCTTAACGAAATTTTGAAAGGCCCAAGCTTGAAAAATGTTGCTCGAAAATGATCAATTATAACCAACTGGGTCGCTAATCACGTCGCCAGTCCTTTTAAGGTCAATCGCGAATTAGCTCTGAAGCTGGTCAGCGGTTGTGCCGTTGCAGAACCGACCTTAAATCATAATTAATTTGTCGCCCAGCGTCGCGAGGAGTGACCTTTAATGAGAGAGACAAGGTATATAAATATATTAAATTGCCATTGTGCATGAACCGTTGGCTGCTGGATAAAAAAGGCCAGTCGAGTAAATAAGCAAAGGCCACAGTTGGCGCGAGAGAGAAGTTAATGATCTCGAATGCTGTTGCCCTTTGCTTGTCTTATTAAAAAGTTTGATTAATTTGCGTCAGCTGCAAGGCAACGTCATGGTTGCAGATTTTTTGCTGGATGAACAAGAATAATACAATCAGCAAATTTAAATTTTTAAATTAAATTGAGGTTTTTTTCCAATTTTGCTATTTTTTTTCTTGCTCATGAAATTGGGTTACCGAAACCGGTAGAGCCATTTGTTTTTTTAATAAAAAAACAATTTCTGCAACAATTTCCACTGATTATCTGTTTATTTTAATGATAAAGTAAATCATAAAAAGCTGATAAAAAGTCTTATTCATTCAAAAGGACTTTAAAAGCACCTGAAACTATCACCAAAAACTTGTTTTGTAACGATTCTCTTCCGTTATCTCCTTTTTCCAAACGTCGTTTTGCAGTCAGCTGCCGCTTTTCTCAGCTGTTTGCAGAAAAGTGACGTTGTTTACTCGGGCAAACGCAACAACCAACAAACACGTCGTTTCCCTCACTCGATAGTGATAGCCCGCTCTGCTTTTCTCAATGTCAACAGCAGCTTTGGAAAGAATATCACCGTCCTTGCATTGTCCATTTTAGCCTCCGACGAGGAAAAATAATATAATCCTCCGATAAGCAATAAGCACATCAGAAGAAGAATTTCCAATCACACGCGAATCACGCATTTCCTTTTCGTTTGAAGTTGGTCTGACCTTTTTCACAGAACTCGGCCTATTTGAATAATAAATCGCTTCGTATGTATTTATTTATTTACGTTTGCTCGCGTGGTCCACTTTTGCTGCCGCGCGAGCGAGATCTGCGTTGGGTCCATGACTAACGGTTTCGCAGCCTCACGCGTGTGCATCGTAACGAACACAAAAGGTCTGCCTCTGAAAATGTTCTGTTGCTCCCCCAAAGTTATCACTGCTGCGTGCCCACGCTCGCCTTGTTCCTCTTTGATGTGGGATGCGTCTGGCTGGCAGAAATTCATTTTGCTCCAGACTGACTTTGAGATTGAAAAAGAAATGACCCGGCACTCGCCGACCTGGGCGGTCGCGCTTTGTCTATCCGCGCGAATGTAATCACTTTCAAGGCTCACAAGCTGCCTTCTTTGATCCACTTGTTAGCACTTTGTCCCTCGTTCCAAACTAATATTGTATTTTTTTATTTTTAGATCATTTGGAAAATCTAAAAATCTTAACTAGGTCAATTTTTTAAAATTTATTTTCAACTTTCAGACATTTTTGAAGCTCTTTTTTATAATAATTTATTATTATTATTGCTTATTGTTTATTTGTCCAAAAAAAAAGGTTGGACAAAACCTCACCAAGAATTTTGCTAAAACTTCTGAGATTATGAATTTTTTAAATCATAATAACAATTTCGTATTGAATTAAAAAACCTTAATAGAAACTTCTTAGGTGTTTTGCAAGGACCGACAAGGACCATGACCGCACATCATCTGCACTTTGCATATATTATATTTCTCCCTCTTATCGGTTTGGCTCGGGTTATATAAAACCAGGCTAATTAATATGCAGGGAAGATGAGATTGCGATGATCTTCCATAATTTTCACAATGCATACTCGCGGGTAATTAACTCGCACGTTGCACAATAACTGGACAACAACCGCAGCAAATTATAGTCTCCTCCAAGGCAATTATAAATAATCTCCACCTTCGGGAAATTAACAAAGCTGCAACTAAAATATTCCGTTTTCTTTTTATATAGACTCGAGTGCACCCGAGGCGTATAAAAATTAGAATTGGCTATGAACAGTGCAGATTTGGTTCTTCGTGCGCCGGGTATAAAAATATACACAGCATTTGTGTACCGAGTCTAAAAACGGAGCTCGTGTCATTATCGCACCGCCAGTTCCAAAGCACCATTTGCGCTCGGCTGAAGCAACTTTTAAATTTGGAACGACAGCAGGCATATAATGCTGGTCTTGTGTGGGCACCACATAAATTTGTAGATTCCGAGAGTCGCTGCCCGTCTTTCTGTTTGAACACCCGAGATTTGAGGAGAAAGGCGTTTTCGAAAACGGTGGAGGTGATAATTATTATTATATGTGCTGTGGGCTGCTCTCCGTAAGCTCGTTTTGAGTACAGGAATCATAAATCTTTGACGCCTTAATTGCCATTCCCAAAGGCATTTTGACTTTCAGTAATGTGGAGCAAAATTAATACACAGAGAAATAGTACAAAGTATTCAAAATTTAGCTTTTTACTCACAAAGTTAGAGTCACTTAGAGTATGAAAATTTCTACTTCAAAAAACTCTCAATTTAATTTATTTTTTAACGGTAGAAAAAATCATTTTATTTAATCATTTGAATTAAATTTTCTGTTTTTTTTTTCTACAAAATAAACAAAACAAAGAGCAATAAAATAGGTCAGCACCTTTAATCCATTTCCTCCGTCAATGCAATCAGAAAAATAATTTCAAAATTGTTTTGAGAGTTGCGCACAATTGGAAACCGCAAACGAGCCTTGGGAAGTGCGTCGTCGTCGTTGCTGTTTATGAAAAATAATATAACGAAATGTATTGAAAAGTGAATGCTTAAAGTCTTATACGAGGTTATTGGCAGCGATTTGTGTCCTCTGAATAATGAACGCACCAGAAAGCGCGTCCATCACCCAGCGCACTCGAAAGTTCATGCACGGCAATGAGGATATTACTCTTTTATTCCCTTTCCATTCAAATGGTGAAATTGATGCAGGCAAACAAATCCAACAGAGGAAGCAGGAAACGGCCCGTGCGAATGTTAATGAA